GTTCTTTCGGCTGCTCGCTCGCGCTGGACAAGACGGCCATCGCGGCCTCCACTACGGCGATCGGGGAAGAGGTGGCGAGTCAGATGTTGGCTTGTGGGGGACGATTTCTCTCTAGTGCTGTCAACTTAGGCGTGGACTACACCGCCGGCCGCGCCCTCAGAGTCGGCGGCAAACGTTCCAAGTTAAAAGAGCGTTTTGCCAAGTCGAGTCGGGCCTCTAAGAGGCTCAAGAGGCAGAACAAGACGTTGCCGCGGGCCCAGGTCCTTCGGGCGTTTTCAGCGGGCCCCTTGGCTGGGGCCACTTACGGATCCAAAATCACGGGCACCAGCGATTCAGGGCTCCTCCGACTCAGGAGGTCCCTTTTCTGTGATCAGGCCGACTTCGCAGCTGCGTTGCATGACGACGGTTGCGTCGCTCGACTCCGATCAACTGCTGGCGCACGGCGACGGCTCCGATAGTGAGACGGTCAAAGGAGATCTGGCTCTGCCAGACGGGCGCGCACTCCTGGACCCTGTCTCTTAAGGCTCTGCGTCGGTCCTGGGAAGCCGTCTTTTCGAAACCGTCATGTTCCTGAAGGCTTGTCTCGGGCCCCATGCCCGCTCGCAGGATGACCCCATCCAGGCTCGGTTGGCAAATGGACAATTGCATGACCACTCGGGACGACAGAGGCTACGTGCTGCCGCTTGGCCTGCTGTCTCCTGCGCTGGTCAAGATTTGAGTTAGAGACGGGTGTTTTCGCACGCTCGAGCGTGAGTCTGGGGGAGAGCGCGGCATTCTTGCCGGACTCTGCTACGCCATTGCGCGCGAGTCTTTGCGCAGCAAAAATTACTCCGCGCTGCAGAGGGCGCACGTTCGAGCCTTCGCTACCGAGGCCGTCCTCACGGGCCAGAGAGTCCAGAACAAGGGGTATTTGGTTGCAGCAAATGCCCGTTTTGTGGAGCCCTCGACACCGTCTTCCACCGCTTGTGGAAGTGCTCTCATGAGCCTGTGGCGTCGCTTAGGGCTGAGCTGGTCGATCCTGCTGTTGTGACTGCTGCTTTGTCTGCTCAGGTTGGCACGGACCCCTCGGAGGCGTTCGCGTTCTCTTCTGGGGTTTTTCGCCACCCCGCCGACAGCTACCCCGGGCCCTGCACGGAGTTCGATGACGGTCCCATCTTGCGCGCCAACACCAGGACTCCCTCCACCCTGGTGGTCATGTTCCTGGCATGGCACCGAGCTTTGGGGCTCGCTGTTCATGGATGGCAGTTGTCCGCGTCATCCTGTTAGGGAGCTTTCCAGGGCGGCGTGCAGCGTTGTGCAAGTTGATAGTTTCGGAGACTGTGTGTGAACTCAGAGCCCCCATTTGGACCCCTTACCCCCAGACGGCGCAGTCAGCCGAGTTCGGGTGTTTCACGTGGGCTGCCGTTTTGGCATCTGCTGAGTTTCGAGCCGTTTCCGATTGTCTAAATGTTGTTCGGCAGGCTTACAGATCTAAGGTGTAGCAGCTCTCGGGCTACAAGGCCTACGCTGGGGCTTTCGCCCAGTTTTACCTTCAGGGCAGACAGCTTCCTGCGGAATGTGTGAAGGTAGCCGCGCATCGCGATGTCGACGAGCCTGGCATTCCCTCGGAGCGCTAACTTCGTAGAGGCAAGCAACACGCTGACGCGGCGGCCAAGCACGGTTTGCATTTGCACCCGTCAGACCCCGACGCTCTTGCCAGGGCCGAATAGCAGGTGAAGTTTGCTCGACCCACGATTCGGCTGGCGGCTCACGTGTTGCACCTCTGGCCTGCCCTTGATTTGACAGAGGTCGGCAGGATGGAGATCCCTCCTTCTGCCGCCTGTCGGACCCCACACACTTGGCAGCATTGGAGAGGCATTTGGAGATGTGCTGTCTGTTTGAGAGGTTCTCATGCGGAGTGGCCCCCGAGTTCCGAGTGTTCAGGGCAGTCCATTTTGCACGCTGCCTCGCAGGATGCCTTGAATCACCGCACCATCGCCTCTGACTGTAGCGATGGTTCCGTTTTGTTCATCTGCAGTCGATGCAAGTGCCATTCCAACGGAGAGCGGATCAAGGGTTTGCGTTCCCCCTGCCGCCCGCCAGCCTCTCGTGCCCATCGCAAGGGCTCGAGTGCGCTCTGTCAGGGGCGACACCCCCATTACAGCAGACAGAAGCTTGGAGTTTCGGTCGACGTCGGCTCCTTGATTCCTTGCTTCAACACCTACTTTTTCGTTGACGACCCTGTGCCTGCCCAGGCCAGCGCAGCGGTCAGTTCGGAGGCGCAGCAGCCGCTTGCTGCTGCAGCCAATTTGCGGGAGGAGGAGGGCTCGCAGCCACTCTTCCCAGACATCGGTCAGAGACCTCCCGAGGACGACTTTGACTGATTTGTTCGTGCACACTGACATCTCCCTCCGCTGTCAGTGTTGCCTTCTTTGACTACCAGGTCGAGTTTGGAGGGCTAGGCGTGGAGCCAAAAAAATATTGGGGGCTTCCTGGGCCGTCTGGCCATTTCGACGGCCTATATTGATCTGTTGGCGACTCGTGGCTCTCTTGGACCATCTTGCGGACAATGTTGGGGCCGCCCGTGCCGCCCGCAAGCGCGTCTGCAGAAATGGGGCCGTCTTCCGCCGGCTTCCGCCGGCATTCCGCCCGTGACCCGGGGAGGGTCGGGGTGGTACCCCCCAGCACACCCAAGGGGGATGCTAAACGGGAGCCCCTCCTCCAAGGTCGGGGAAAACATGGCCTTGGGGGTCTGGGGAGGAGGACAAACAGCAGATGGACCATATGGCCGCGTCTGGTTCTTAGCGTTGCAAACTTGCGGCCGTCGCACACCCTTGCTGGCGGGCATGTTGTGTGACCCCTCTTGGGAGCCTTCGGGGGGAGCCCTCGGGAGCCCAACGGGGTTGGTGTGACCCGTGTTGGCCTCGTGACCCAACGGGGCTGTATGATCCCGTGCTGGCCATGCCCGCCGCTCCAGTACAGAGCCCGTGTGACGCGAACAGAATGGGCGGCGCCATGTATTCGAACGTACGCACTTGAGGAGGACTCCGAATCCCCCCCCGCCCCCGAAATCAATGTCGATTCCAATCTGATTGATGAGTTGCCCTCAATATGAATTTGGAGGGTCTGGGGGAGCATCTTCGCCGCTGGGTTCGAACTCACTGTCTGTGCACGGGAGGACGAGGAGGACAAGGATGTGGAGGACAAGGAGGGGAAGGAGGAGGAGGACGACGACGACGAAGACGAGGCCGAGGACGACGACGACGATGATGAAGAGGGAATGCAGATTAAGATGACGATGAAGATGAAGATGAATATGACTATGAGAACGAAGATGCTGATGAATACGAAGATGAAGACGAATCTGAAGATGGAGATGAAGATGAAAATGAAGATGGAGATGCTGGTGACGGTGATAATGACGGGTATGATCATGATGATGATGATGATGATGATGATGATGATGATGATGATGATGATGATGATGATGATGATGATGATGCGGATGATGATGATGATAATGGTGCTGATGATGATGGTGAGAATGATGATGATGTTGAAGACGATGATGACGACGACGATGATGCCGATTGCGAGGAAGATGATGATGATGATGAGATGATGAGGATGATAATGATGATCATGGCGGTGGTGATGATGATAATGGTGGTGATGATGATGACGGTGATGATGATGGTGATGTGATGGAAATGATGATGGTCATGTTGCTCATGGTTATGATGATGGTAGTGTTGATGATCATGATGATGATGACGATGATGGTGATCATGATGGTGACGGTTATGATGAAGACGATGACGACGATGACGATGATGGTGACGGTGATGATGAAGATGATGACCACAATGGCGATGACAATGATGATGATGGTAGTGGTGGTGATGATGACGAGTATGATAAATGTGTGATGATGATAATGATGATAATGATGACGATGACGATGACGATGACGATGACGATGACGATGCTGATGCTGATGCTGATGCTGATGCTGATGATGATGATGATGATGATGATGATGATGATGATGATGGTGATGATGATGATGATGATGATGATGATGATGATGATGATGATGATGATGATGAAACTCGCCCCGAAGCGTTGTGGACCCAAAACCGAGCACAACGCGCCAGAGACTATGCAGCCACCCGTTCACGGCCACCAAAACCCAGAAGCTTGCTGGCCAAAACGTTCGGGCGAAAACTGGCGGCCCATCCCTCCTGATCCCAGCGGATGAGCCCGCCCTTCGACGACGACAACGACGACGACGACGACGACGGCGGCGACGACGACAACGACAACGAAGAAGAAGAGAAGAAGAAGAGCAGCAGCAGAAAACGCAGTAGCAGCACGAGGACGACAACGCCGAGGGGGAGGGGAGAGGATGCCCGGGGGAGCCAGAGCCGAGGGAGCGAAACTGGGGACGGCGGGGCTGAGCCGAAGAGCGCCCGGGCGGGGAGGAGGGCCGCCCCGAGCCGCACGGGGAGGCAGGGCGAGGCCGCGGGGGCAGCGCTTCTGCCGGGGGCCCTGCGTCTCAAACTGCTGGCGCCGTCCGCGCCCGGGCACGGCCGCCTCTGGAAAAATGCGGCCGCCCTCGGGGGCTGCCGCCCAGCCGCGGCCGAGCCCGCGGCCGAGGGCGGCTGGGCCGTCGAGGCGGGCAACATGGCCAGCGTCGGCCATGGTCGCAGTCTCCGAGGGCAGCCGTCGTCGCGGGCCCCAGCCGCTGAGAGAGAGCCCGCCCGGGGGCGCCACCTTGGGCGGCAACTCATGGCAGCCTCCCATGCCATCTTGCTAGATCTTGCGAGTTGATGCTGGCCGGCGCTAAACGATGGCAATCGACGCCACAATCGACAAGAATCGACGCTACATCGACGCCTATCGACGCTACTGCAGCAATGTCTCATCAACTACCAGACGCTGGCGCACGCCAACGCACTCTGGAGACGGAGTTACGAGGACATGCGAGGCTCCCATGATTTGCCACCGAACGCAACCCATCACAGGCTGGACGGCGGCGCCGCCAGCGCTGCGACGGCGGCCTTGGCGACCGCGGCGTCCTTCCCCCCATGGGCGCCACGGCTTTGCGCTTGGGCGTGCGCTCTCGCTCTCGCTCCCGCCCGCGCTCTCCCCCCAAGATCATGTATCAGTCACCGCTCCAGAAGGCCTCATGGAGTCCTCAAGACGTTTTTCCCACAGAACTGGAAGCTCTACGGCCAGGAAGTTTTGCTTGGCGTGTCGCCCTGGCGGCCCCAGCGACACGCTATGCCTGCCCTGCGAGCGGACAGCATGACGCTCCGCTCCGCGGGGCGCAAGGCTCGAAAAGGCTCGGGACGATGAAACCTGGGGACCGGGGAGTGGATAGCGTGTCGCGACGAAGCGTGGTGGGCCAGAACCCGCGGAGCGACACGCTATCCAAAAGTTCCCGATCGCAAGTGCTCTAAGAAGCCAACTCCCCCTCCATCTTCTCTCTTCCGGGCGCTCCCGGGCGCTTCCAGGGCTCGTCGCGGGACTTGTCCAAAGCCCCTGGAGCGTGGTTGGAGATCCACACGCCAACGTGATCTAAGATGACTGCCAAGTAGCCTTCCTGGGGCTCTCTTGGGGTCCGCTTGGGCCCCTGGGGGTCAGCCGAGAAGCCAAAATCATAGGAAAACCATGCGCTTGTGTTTTTCAAGCTTTATATGTTGTTCTATTATGAGCCTTATTCCCTGTTCCCGTCCTGTCATGCCCTGCCGCTACACCGTCCTGGTCCGTCTCCTCCTTTGCCTCCTCTTCTGATGTCGCTGCTCCCTCGCCCCCATTCCTGGTAACCTTGGTCTCCCCTCCCTTGAGGATCACGTCCGCCCTCCGTGAAGACTCTCCGACGCGCTTGGCAAAACGAGACCCTCTTCCGAGCGGCTTGCAGGGTCTGTTGTGGGAATGCTAGCGGCCGCTTGGAATACCCTCTGTTCGGATCTTGGGGGGCCATGCAGGGGACTCGGGGGTCGCGACGGATCCTGCCGCAGGCGTCTCAGGGGAGGTCCTCTGTCCATTTAGGGACTTGGTCATTGGGCCTGCCTAGGGCTGCGTGAGAGCTCTCCGAGAATTCTTCGAGAAACCCCATTGTGGATGATCTCGGACACAGCCCTCCAGGAACACTGAAAAGTCGGAGCGGCGTACTACTCTTTAAGCGCTGTACAGACTAGGGGAACGAGGCATTGAGCGGACTCCCCTTGGGAGCGAAAGCTAGTATCGGGGCTGAGCCAGCCAACAGGGATGAGTCGCTCGAATCAGGCTTGAAAACGAGCCAAGGGGAAGGCCCACGAGTACGAAACGCGCTGCCCCCGAGGGAGCTTATGCGCCCTCCCTTCCCAAACGGTGAACACTCCAGACCTGGATCCGAGAAACGGCACCGAATCGTCAAGCCAAGAGGGAAGAACGAGAGACGGGGAGAGCAAGAGGCCAGCAATGAGAGGAGAAGCAGTTAGACAAAGACCCGGGGTTACGACGAAGTCCGTTCTCTAGTCTCGAGGAGTTCCTGGGAGCTTGTGTTACGACGAATTTCGTTCACTTTCTCAAGATACCGCCAGGGCCAGGTTACGATGAGTTCTGGATGATTCCGACTCGTCGAACCCTTCACTTCAGGAGTTCAAACACTGAACAACGCCCAACAGCATGACTGAGGGAGAAAAGTGTCTGGCAGGTTGTAAACATATGTTCAGCGGCATCGGCCTCAACTGGCTCTCACTCCTAGCACTAGCCATCATTGCATTGCACGACAGGACCCTAGCGTCCCCTCCGCAACGCTGCTAATACCTGGCCATCACTTCAACGTGACAGCATCATGGTTACGATCACAACCATCATCATGACAATGACGCCCATCAGCATGGACACCACCACGACCCCCATCACCGTCAGAAAACCATCTTGGACGGCCTGGATCGACCTGTGGCTCTCTTGGACCATCTTGCGGACCATCTTGGGGCCGCCCGTGCCGCACGGAAGCGCGTCTGCCGAAATGGGGCCGTCTTCCGCTGGCTTCCGCCGGCGTTCGCCGCGTGGCCGGGACCATGTCCCCGGGGGTACCCCCCCAGACCCCCCCAGGGGAACACACAACAGGAACCCCTCCGCAATGTCGGGGAACAAATGTCGTCTTCCGCCGGCTTCCGCCGGCCTGCCGCAGGCGACCGCCGGCGGAGGCGGCCTCGTTTTACTTCCGCCGCGCTCCGCCACCCTTTCGTCGCCTTCCGCCGAGGAAGAGACGCCAAGTCCTTCGATCCTCGAAGGCGAGGCCCACTTTGGAACGCCCTAAATCGAGACATCGTGTCGATGGTCGCGCAAACAGTTTCCTTGGAATGTCTGGGGAGGGGAGCCTGGAGAAACGCACGCCTGAGCTTAGCCACCACCGCGCCTGCGCGACAGCAGAACGTCAGAGTTCTGGCGTGTTCTCTGGCAGAGCTTCTGCAGCTTTGTAGGGCCGACCCCGCCTCTGGGCGAGGGACCTCGAAAATCGCCCACCCGGCTTTGATCTACGCCTCCCTTTTCGGCCCGTGGGTGGCTACAAGGCGGCCCAAAATCCCTCCAGAACAGCCGCAGCATGCTGGAGCACCGAGCCCCAAAACAGCAAAACGGACCTCCCGAGGCTCCAAGAGGCCCCAGTGATGCCCCCAAAGGCCCCAAGAGTCCCCCAAGAGGTGCCAAGGGCCCAAGGAGGCCTCCCGCGAGACCCTGGGAGGCTGAGACCATAGAAAAACGGTATGCTTTTATTTCCAAGGCCGTCCACCTTCAGATCGCTTGGGGAAAGCTCCGGAGCCCCAAGAAGCCCAACCTGAGGCCGAAGAGCCCAAGACGACTAAAGAATCTGCCAAGACGGCACAGGAGGGCCTCAAGATGGCCCCAAGACCCGCCCAGGCGTTCCCAAAATGCTTCAATCGAGCCTCTGTGGGAGAGCTCGGTAGAACCATCGCTTAAACAGCTCCGAGACTCGGCGGGCCCCCAAGAAGGCTCCATGAGAAAGGACGAGAGGAAAGCGAGGCTGCAGACAAGGAGGGGGGTGTTCCAGACCCGCGCCAGTTCAGGCGGGGCACTGAGCTGGAGCAGGTCTCAAACTACATCTCTCTCCTGCCGCGCTGCTGCGCTGGCGTGGTGGCGAGGTTTGCTGTAGGCAGCTGGATACGCAGGCGGGGCATACGGAGGCCACGCGTTAGATGAGCGCGCTGCGGGAGGGAAGCTGGTGGCCTGGAGGCCAGCGCTGCGAGCGTGTCCGGACACACGTTCGTTTTCAGCTCCCGCATAGGCCAGCCAGGCTGACCGTTTCCGGTATTTCGCGTCAGCCAACTCCAGGCCCGCGCGGGCGACACCCCTTCGCCGTCCCCCGGGGGCTCCCTCCTCGTCGGGCTTGACGCCGGACACCCCGACAGCGCCGATGATCCGACCGCTGGCGGGGTCCTCAAGGCGGCGGGCGGGGGAGGGGGCCAGGCTCGCAGGCCAGGAAACGGGAAGCAGGATCTGGATGGGCTTCACGGACCAAGGGTTGCGCGCAACGGGCGCCGCAAAGGAGGAAGCTCCGATTTGGGAATACGCACACTGCATCTTAATGCTACACGGGGACGGGGACCATGCGGTGAAGTGCAAGGCCCATGGGAGGAGGGCATGGAGCAGCGGGAGAAACAGCGGCAACAGCAGCAGGACTGAAAGCAGAGGAGACGGAAGCGGACGACGCGCCACGCGTTTCGTGGGGTGCTGGCGGGACTGGACAGACCTGCGTGCACGAGCGGTCGCTGGCGCGAAGCCACGCGCCACCCCCAAGCAACCCAACACCTACGGAACTTGCCAGCGGTGTCACAAATGTCTCTCCTCCTCCTCCTCCTCCTCCTCCTCCTCCTCCTCCTCCTCCTCCTCCTCTTCCTGCTCCTCCTCCTCCTCCTCCTCCTCCTCCTCCTCCTCCTCCTCCTGCTCCTCCCTCCTCCTCCTCCTCCTCCTCCTCTCCTCCTCCTCCTCCTCCTCCTCCTCCTCCTCCTCCTCCTCTTCCTTTTCCTCCTCCTGCTCCTCCTCCTCCTCCTCCTTCTCTCCTCCTCCTCCTCCTCCTCCTCCTCCTCCTCCTCCTCCTCCTCCTCCTCCTCCTCCTCCTTCTCCTCCTCCTCCTCCTGCCCCTCCTCCTCCCCCTCCTCCTCTCCTCCTCCTCTTCCTTTTCCTCCTCCTGCTGCTCCTCCTCCTCTCCTCCTCCTCCCTCCTCTCCTCCTCCTCGGCCTCTCTCCGCCTCCTCCTCCTCCTCCTCCTCGTCCTCGTCCTCGTCCTCCTCCTCCTCCTCCTCCTCCTCCTCCTCCTCCTCCTCCTCCTCCTCCTCCTCCTGCTCCTCCTCCTGCCCCTCTCCTCCGCCTCCTCCTTTTCCTCCTCCTCGTCCTGCTCCTCGTCCTCCTCCTCTTCCTCCCTCCTCCTCCACATCCTCATCCTTCTCCTCCTCCTCCTCCTCCTCCTCCTCCTCCTCCTTCTCCTCCTCCTGTTCCTCCTCCTTCTCCTCCTCCTCCTCCTCATCATCATCATCCTCCTCCTCCTCCTCCTCCTCCTCCTCCTCCTCCTCCTCCTCCTCCTCCTCCTCCTCCTGCTCCTCCTCCTCCTCCTCCTCCTCCTCCTCCTTCCTCCTCCTCCTCCTCCTCCTCCTCCTCCTCCTCCTCCTCCTCCGTCTCCTCCCCCCCCTCCTCCTCTGACTCCTTCTTCTCCTCATCCTCCTTCTCATACGTCTCATCCTCTTCCGCCTTTTCCTCTTCATCCTCTTCCTCAATCCTTCTTCCTGATAAACCACTATTCTGTGTCGCATCCACAAGCGCGTCTATAGGTCGATCCAAGCGTTTCGCCTGAGACTTCCGGAGATTCTGTGCAGTTGCAAATATAGAGGGGACGGGTTAAAATGGTGCTCTCGAGCGCACATACTCGTCGCCAAATTTCCCAAACAGTGATTGCACTTACGGTTTGTTACTTCGGTTCTAAGGGCGGTTATGTTATCGCCATCGCCACCCCGTCGCCGCCTCGTCGCCGTCCGACGTCTGGGCCTGTCTGGCGGTCTGGCGGCTACGTTGTCGCCGTCGCCGCCCCGTCGCCGCCTCGTCGCCGCCCATCGTCTGGGCCTGTCTGGCGGTGTGGCGGCTATGTTGTCGCCGTCGCCGCCCCGTCGCCGCCTCGTCGCTGCCCGTCGTCTGGGCCTGCCTGGCGGTCTGGCGGTTATGTTGTCGCCGTCGCCGCCCCGTCCCGTCGCCGCCGCCCCGCTGCACAACATTAAGATCTCTTTTCTTAAAAACTACTGGAATTTACCCCCCCAAGAACAATTTAACCGCCTCATTTTTTCGTAGTGTAAATTACATGTGTTTCTGCCCCATTGTCCATCCGAGCTACGAATCCATATCATCCCAGCCAAGCCGGTATGGACATTCCCCTCATCTTCTGCATGAAACACTATGCGCGCACTCGTTGATCAACAATCATAAAAGTCATCAGATGTCAAAGCACCATTGCAAAACAAATGACGAAATGCACACGCGCGCGTCGTGGCGCGCGCACGCCGAAATCTCTCAACCGGATATTGCCACGAACCCCGACCTTGGAGGACAAGTGGGTGTGACTTGCTAGGAGAAAGGCGCATAATGCTGATTCCTGCGCTGTCTGTTTGCATTATGCTGGCTCCCGCGCTGTCCGTTTGATGCTGTGCCACTTTGTCGGGGCGCCTCCGACCATCGTGGAGCCCTGCTGTTGGGCAGTTAAGAAAGTCTTGGGGCCCTCGTGGGGACCTTTGGGGGCTTCCTGGGGTCCTCTTGGAGGCTTCTTGGGGCCTCCTGGGAGCCTTTTGGGGCCTCCTGGGTTTTTTTCCTGGGGCAGAGAGCCCAAAATGTCGGTCTCTGCCACCCCTTTTGGGCCCCTCTTGTGGGCGTTCCTGAGGTCTTCCAGAGCCGTCTTGGAAGCCTTTTCGGCCGTTTTGGGGGCGTCCTGGGCCGTCTGAGCGCTCTCTTGGGGGCCTCCTGGGGGCCTCTGGGGCCGTCTTGGTGGGATCTTTCGGGAATTTGGGGCCGTCTTTTTTTATCAGTTCTAGTGCGAAGTCCAGTGACGGCCACTCAATGGCTGGAAGATGTAGTACGAAGTCATCTTCCCGCATGCTCAGTATGGTCACGCAAAAATTGCCATTGCAACCGATGACACGGAGGAAGAAGCCTGGCCGCTCGATTGCCCTTCTCAGAGGGACGTATGCTTGACACAAGCCGCTGGTGGAGTCATCACGTCCCTGTGGTCGTCTTCGCCAAGCAGACCTCCCACAGCAAACCCTGCTCGCCCTAAGTTCTTCACGTAAACGTTCAAATACTGGAGGCCAGTGTCCGTGCGTCCATGAACGACTTTCAACTGAACCGTACCAAACGCAACCCATTCCGGAGTACCGGCTACGCTTTGCGATACGTCGTAATGATATCCGCCAGCTCGCTTGGCCTCTGCCCAAGACCCTGTAACGTTCACCTCCTTGAAATACATATCCGCACAACTTCCACCCAACTGGCGCGCACTGGCCTGCACACGAAGCAATGCATCTTCGGCGCTCATGCCACGGGGAATGTTTATGAGAACGTGTGTGCCCGGCTTCATCAAATCGAACCGCTCACCATGAACGTTTTGAAGGTGGGGGTCGCCAGTGGCAGCCGCGCCTCCCGCTCCACCTGCCATGGGAGCTGCAGGAGGAAACGTCGGATGTGGCGTCGGCCAGCCTGGAGGATACGTCGGGCTGGGCGTCGGGCTCGGCGTGGGGAAGGCTGTCGGGAAGGCCGTCGGGAAAGGCGTCGGGAAAGCTGTGGGGAAGGCCGTCGGGTACGGCGTCGGAAAGGGCGTCGGGAAGGGCGTCGGGAACGCCGTCGGGTACGGCGTCGGGAAGGCTGTCGGGTACGGCGTCGGGAATGCTGTCGGGTACGGCGTCGGGAACGGCGTCGCGAATGCTGTCGGGTACGGCGTCGGGTACGGCGTCGGATACGGCGTCGGGTACGGCGTCGGGTACGGCGTCGGGTTGGGCGTCGGGTTGGGCGTCGGATTGGGCGTCGGATACGGCGTCGGGTATGGCGTCGGGTACGGCGTCGGGTTGGGCGTCGGGTTGGTCGTCGGGTACGGCGTCGGGTACGGCGTCGGGTTGGGCGTCGGGTTGGGTGTCGGATACGGCGTCGGGTACGGCGTCGGGTACGGCGTCGGGTTGGGCGTCGGGTTGGGCGTCGGGCTGGGAGTCGCAACGCTGCACACCTGGACGTTCGCGGCATAGTGGTAGTTGGTAGCACCACCAGTTCTCCCAGTGAAGGCCACCTGTTGGCTACCAACTGGCGATGAGAAGCTACTAATCCACGCAGTTTTGTAGTAGTAGCCGTTGTCAAAGTTCAGTATCACATTTGCACCGCTGCCACTGGGCGTGACCTCAATAATGACATCGTGCCAAGTGGAATCCTCGAAGAGGGGAACGTTGGTACTCCAGTGTACTGAGCCTATCTGTGAAAAAATTGTCCCGCCATTCCATCCCATCACCACGCCATGATCGTCCCCATTTGAATAGGAGTCAAAGCACACAGAGAAGCCATTCGGAGCAATATCTTCGCCAGCTTCGTCCGTATCATAGCCGCCGTACTTCATGCACATACCGTCAGCGCCTGATCCACCGCCCTAATACATGTCGAAATAGATCCGGAATCCCCCCGAGTTTGCCCACGAGTAGTACGCTCGCCCATACTGGCTTCCCGCGTTGGTCGTGACAACGATTGTGTTGCCAGAGATGTAGGAGTCGTACTGGGCGGCGAAACTGCTCGCAGCGATCGAGGTGCAGGCCCACGCAGAGGTTCGAGCTGCGGGTGGCATCGCAGAGTCACCGGTCGCATGAGCCGTGGACCCCGCATGGAGAGAAACTGCCGCTGGCACACCGTGGGCCAGCGCCCCCACCAACCACACGATGCAGGGTGCCCTCTGGGCCGCCATCCTGCAGATCGAAGTCGGCTGCTTCCGCGAGCGCGAGAAGAGCTTGCCAGCGAAGTACCGTGTAATGTGTATGTGTACGCACAGGACCGCGATCCGAGGATGCTTGAGCCAAAATAGCTACGGATTCCGGCATTTGGGGCCGTTTTGGAGCGTCGAAAAGCCGACAGAGCGCACGCGCGAAAAATCTTCAGAAACCCAAAGAAAATCAATGAATTTTGCCTCTCGGAGCCCTCTTGGCACCCCTCTGGGAAGCCTCGCGGGGCCTCTTCGGGGCTGTCTGGGCAGTGTGGGAGCCATCTGGGATGGTCTGGTCCGGCGACTCGTGGCCCTCTTGGACCATCTTACGGACCATCTTGGGGCCGCCCGTGCCGCACGGAAGCGTGTCTGCCGAAACGGGGCCGTCTTCCGCCAGCTTCCGCCTGCGTTCGCCGCGTGGCCAGGGTGAACGCCGGCCAAGGTGAACACTAAACGGGAACCCCTCCGCAAGGTCGGGGAAAAAGGAAGCTTGGGCAATGTGCAGGGCTCCAGGGCCCCATCTGGGGCCATCCTAAAGGCCTCCTGGTCGTGCGTGAGAAGGTGTTGAGAGGGGGAAGTCGTGTGCGAACAGAGCACGTGAACATGCGAGCCACGGAATGAGCTCAGCATGGCACCACGCGAGCCACCTGTCAAATGAGGGCAATGTGAGGTGAGCTCAGCACGTGGCCATGCGAGCCACTGGGGGAGGACAGGAGGAGAGCACGTGAACATCCGAAGTGAGCTCAGAACGGCACCGTGCGAGCCACTCGTCAAATGAAGGCCTTGCGAGGTGAGCTGAGCACGTGAGCATGCGAGCCACTGGGGGGGGCAGTGGCCGTGACGTGCGAGAAAGAGAACAGCAGAGAAGATGATGACTATGGGGCTCATTGGGTTGGTTCCCGTGTTTCCCGTTATCACCTCATGAAGCATGTGTGGCAATCCGGATGCCCTCTTGGGCAAGGGGGCGTGACTTGAGAGCAAGCGAACAGCAAAGACGAGCGGGCCTAGTGGGCATCTGGTGTTGGTTCCCGCGTTGTCCGTTTGGCGGTGTGCCGCTTTGTGAGTGCGTCTCCACCTATCCTTGGGCCTTCTTGGGCAGCCTTGGGACCCTCTTGGGGGCCAGTGGGGGCTTCCCCAAGGCCGCGTCCAGGGTTCCTAAGGGGCCTCTGGAACATCTCTTGGGGGCCCTCCTGGGGGCCTCTTGTGGCCTCCTGGGGGTCCTTTAGAGCGGAGGGCCTAAAATGTCAGTCCCCGCCCCCTCTCTGGAGGTTTTCTTGGAGCGCTCCTGGGGCCTTCGGAGGCCGTCTTGGAGACCTCTTGGGCCGAAAGCTTTTTGGACTGTCTGGGCGCAGTCTTGGGGGCCTCTGAGTCCGTCTTGGCGCGATATTTTCAAACCTCGTGGGCTGTCTTAGAGTGTCGGGAAACCGAATACGCAGGAGCCCGAAAACCTTTCAAAAACCTAACAACAACCAATGAATTTTGACACTTGGGGCTCTCTTGGAAGGCCTCTCGAAGGCCTCAAGAGTCGTCCTGGGAGCTCCCTGGGCCGTCTGAACGCGATCTTGGGGGCCTCTAGGTGCCTCCTGGGGTTTTTTGTGGGCGGAGAGCCTAGATTGTCGGTCCTTGCCCCCCCTCTGGAGGTCGTCTTGGAGCTTTCCTGGGGCGTTCGGAGGCCGTCTTGGAGGCCTCTTGGGCCGTCTGAGGGGCGTTTGGGCCTGTTTGGGCGCTCTCTTGGGTGCCTCTTAGACCGTCTTGGGGCGATATTTGGGACCTCTTGGGCTGTCTTGGAGCGTCGGGAAGCCGGAAACGCGGGAGAGCCTAAAATGTCGACCCCTGCCCCCTCTCTGGAGGTTTTCTTGGGGCGTTCCTGGGGCCTTCGGAGGCCGCCTTGGAGGCCTTTTGGGCCGTCTTGAGGGCGTCTTGGACTGTCTGGGCGCAGTCTTGGGGGCCTCTTAGGCCGACTTGGGACGATCTTTGGGCCCTCTTGGGCTGTCTTGGAGTGTCGGGAAGCCGAAAACGCGAGAACCCGAAAAACCTTCAAAACCTGACAGAAACCAATGGATGTTGACACCTGGGGCTCTCCTGGAAGGCCTCTCGAAAGCCTCCCGAGTCGTCCTGGGAGCTCCCTGGGCCGTCTGGACGCGATCTTGGACGGCCTGGACCGACCTGCTGGCGACTCTTGGCCCTCTTGGACCATCATGCGGACCATCTTGGGGCCGCCCGTGCCGCACGGAAGCGCGTCTGCCGAAATGGGGCCGTCTTCCGCCGGCTTCTGCCGGCGTGCGCTCCGTGGCCGGGGGGGGGGCCCAGGGGAGATTCGGTCTCTTTACAACCAGAACAACCACTTTACAACCAGATGGGTTACTTTACAACCAACATAGGATTGGAAAGGATGGTTTTTCATCGAGAACGTCCACTTTGCAACCAGAACGGCCCACTTTACAACCAGAACGGACCACTTTACAACCAGAACGGACCACTTTACAACCAGAACGGACAACTTTACAACCAGAACGGACAACTTTACAACCAGCTCAGAGTGGCCGTGCGTGTTTGGGCGTTCCGCAAAGTGCTCCAGAGCAAGTGGGCGCTCTGACAAATGCCCCAGAGCAAGTGGGCGCTCTAAAATATGCCCCAGAGCAAGTGGGCGCTCTCAGAAGTGCTCCAGGGCGCGCGGACGCTCTGAACAGTGCTCCAGAGCACGTGGGCGCCCTGGAGCCCGAGCGCCTGAACTCTCTGCGCAAGCCCCAGCGATGCCTCTGAGCCCGAGCGCCTGAACGCCCTGCGCAGGCCCCAGCGATGCCTCTGAGCCCGAGGACCTGGACGCTCCGCACAGGCCCCAGCGATGCCTCTGAGCCCGAGGACCTGGACGATCTGCGCGGGCCCCAGCGATGCCTCTGGACGCTCTGAGCAGGCCCCAGCGATGCCTCTGAGCCCGAGCGCCTGGACGCTCTGGCGCTCTGAGCCCAGCAGACTAAGACAGGGCTTGCTAGCAGGGGCCAAGCGGCCTGAACAAGGACCCCGTACTCGCACGGAAATAAGGCGACAGCGTACGTAGGAAGGCTCAGAGCGACGCGCTGCCCATTGTAGGGATCACTCACAGGAAGCGAGCCCAGTGGCCTCCACAAGGGCCCAGCGCTCCAGGGAACTAGGCCATTGTCACCGCGGGTCTCTTGGGCCACGTTGGCCCCTGAAGCCCCGCGGTGTTCTGCAAGGGGCTAAGTGCTCCAGCTCCAGTTGGCCCCCTGCTGCTCCTTTTCTTGGAAGATCGAGGTTCAACGTTCCGAAAAATGCAACTATTTCGAATGTCGTTCCTTCCAGCGCCAGCCGCAGTGCCAGCGCAGCAACGCAGGTATCCTGCTCGGGCAGCAGCCTCAGCCACCGTGCCAGCGCAGCAGCTTGAGCCATCGTGACACCGCGTCACCGCCACCTTTGTGCCTGCTACCACCACACTTACCGCTGCAGCCCCGCTACCTCCACAATTCCGACTGACCCCCCGCTACCACCGCAAATCCCATTGCAGCCCAGCTACCACCACAGTTCCCACCGCTGCCTGGCGACCACCATGGTTACCACCGCAGCTTCCCAACACCATGCAGTTCCCATTGTAGCCCCCGCTGCCACCACATCTCCCACTACAGCTTCCCACTGCCATGCAGCTCCAGTCTTGGACGGGATCATGGTTTATTCGTATGTCCTGCGCGACTAGCCTTCGTCCGTCAGAAAAAAGGCAGAGCAAGCAATGGCAGAACTGACCGACAGAGCTTAGAGAGCAGGTCAAAACCCGAATCCGCCCACCAGCACGCAACATACCATGGCGCACCAGGTCGCCGCATCGCCAACGCGTGCGCAGTGCTTCTTCGTGCGCGATGGGCAACTTTACAACCGACATGCCTCAAAGAGCCCAAAGCCACCCTTGCGCTTGCCCACGGAGATTTCAGGGAAAGGCCCGCGTGCATTCAATATGTGTTTTCACTTGCCTGGTTGTAAAGTGCCCTTCCTGGTTGGAAAGTGCCCTTCTCGGATTTTGTAAGCTGGTTGTAAAGTGACCCATCTGGTTGTAAAGTGCGCTTCTGGTTGTAAAGTGACCCACACGCGGGCCCAGGGAGATTCGGTATCTTTGCAGCCCGACGACACTTCACGACCGAGATAGGTCACTGCATAATCAGCAAAGGATAGAATTCGATGGTTTTCCTTTGAGAACAACCACTTTACAACCAAAGCAACCCGCTTTACAACCAGAGCGTCTACTTTACAACCCAGACGGGGCTCTTTGCAACCAGAGCGGCCACTTTACAACAAGCCTTCCGAAGCGCGCGGGCGTTTCGCAAAGCCTTCTGAGCCTTCTGAGCGCCTGGGCGCTGTGCAGAGGCTTCTGGGCGCCCGAGCGCTTTAAAGAGGATTCAGAGGCTTCAGAGCGCCTGAGCGCTCTGCAGAGGCTTCTGAAGCTTCAGAGCGCCTGAGCGCTCTGCAGAGGCTTCTGAAGCTTCAGAGCGCCTGAGCGCTCTGCAGAGGCTTCTCAAGCTTCTAAGCGCCTGAGCGCTCTGCAGAGGCTTCTGAAGCTTCTAACCGCCTGAGCGCTTTGCAGAGGCTTCTAAGCGCCTGAACGCCCGAGCGCTCTACAGAAGCTTCTGAGGCTTCTGAGCGCCTGAGCGCTCTACAGAGGCTTCTGAAGCTTCTGAGCGCCTGAGCGCTCTACAGAGGCTTCTGAGGCTTCTGAGCGCCTGAGCGTTCTGCAAAGGCTTCTGAGGCTTCGGGGTACGGCTTCCTCGTACTGTCCTTGCTTTTGTGCCCTGGTCTAGACAGACATGCGCCTCCAGCTGGCGGCAGTTGTTCAGCCGATGTGTCGTGCAGACACGGATTGATTGATCGATTGATTGATTGGTTGATTGGTGGATGGATTGATTAATTGATTGATTCGCTGATTGATTGATTGGCCGATTGCTTGATTGGTTGCTTGTTTGATTCATTAAGGACCTCCGAAGCAGAACGTCCCGGAGCCCCCAGATGCCCCCCCGCTCGGCGGTGTAGCTTGTTTTTTCCGTTTCCAGGATGCGTCTCCTGGATCCCGGGGGAAATCCGCAAATGGAACACCGTTTCTGGAACCCCCCCTTGCGCCTCCGGCCGGCGGCACCTCTTCAGCCGATGTGTCGGCACTCCACCCTGCTCGGCACTCCTCGGCACTCCACCCTCCTCGGCAGCAATCGGCACCCCACACTCCTCCACCCTCTTCGGCACTCTCCCCTCCTCGGCACCCCTCGGCACTCCACTCTCCGCGGCACTCGTCGGAGAGGGGGAGGAGGAGGAGGAGGAGGAGGAGGAGGAGGAGGAGGAGGAGGAGGAGGAGGAGGAGGAGGAGGAGGAGGAGGAGGAGGAGGAGGAGAGGAGGAGGAGGAAAGAGGAGGAGGAGGAGGAGGAGGAGGAGGAAAGCGAGGAGGAGGAAAAAGAGGAGGAGGAGGAGGAGGAGTGGGGACGAGGAGGAGGAGGAGGAGGAGAAAGAGAAGGAGAGGCAGGAAGAAGAGGACGAGGGTGAGGATGAGGATGAGGATGAGGATGACGAGAGGGCGGAGGAGGGGGGCCGCCTTGCGGCTGCTACTGCCGCGTTGCATTTCTCCGGGGCTCTTGAAGGGCCTCTTGCGGGAATTGTACCAACGACTTCTTGGCCACATTTCCGCCCCCCTGGGTACGCATGCTTCTGCGAATGCGACAACAGAAGGTCTTGCTATAGCCATACGTTGAGGCGCAAGAACACAATTGCCCGCGAGGTCAAAAAAAAACAAAGAATTCCACCCGCATGTGTTAGTTAGAATTCAACCAGCGGTTCCTTACATTTCCGCCTTCCTGGGTACGCATGCTTCCGCAATTGCGAAAACATGCGGCTTTACTATTGCCAGACGATGAGGCGCGAGAGTAAACACGACCTATGATGAAAAAACACCTTGTGTAACCCACACGCGTTGGCCAGAATTTGACACGCGATTTCTTGGCCACATTTCTGCCCTCCTAGGTGCGGCAGCTTCCGCGAATGCGAACACATGCGGTTTTGACATTGCCAGGCGACCAGGCGCGAGGACAGACATCGCATGCGAGGCCACCAATCACACATTGACATCCACACGCAGTGGCTCGAATGCTACCATCGACTTCTTGGCCAACTGTCCTTTTCCTGGGCACGCATGCTTCCGCAATTGCGAAAACATGGTACTGCCAGACGACGAGGCGCGAGAACAAACATGGTGCATGAAGCAAGGAACCAACACTTTGACATCCACAAATAATGGCTAAACATGACCCACGATTTCTTTGCCATATTTCCGCTTTCCTGGGTACGCATGCTTCCGCGCATGCGAAAACAGACGGCTGTGTTATTGCCGGACGATTAGGCGCGAGGGCAAAACATGTATATGATTCAAACAACTATATGACATCCAGTATGTTGGCTAGAAATTCACCGACGACATCTTGGTCACATTTCCGCTTTACTGGGGGCGCGCGGGTTTCTCCTCGTTTTTTTTTGCGGCGAACGCCCACTGTCCTGTCATTGTCAGAAGAAGCAATATGTTCAGACAGAGGTTACGAGGCTTCAAAAATCGAAGTAGATGTAAGGCATATATGGGACAACGAGGCTTTAAAGCGCCCAGGCGTGTCACCAGCCTGTAGCGGGAGAATTTCCATTGGACCTCTATTGGGTTCCACTAGCTCCACTTGGATACCACAAGGATAACACTAGGACGCCAATCGGGGTACAGTATGTTCAAAGAGGACAAGTTCTTCTTGGGTTCCAGTTGGGTCCCATTCGAATGCCAGTATGGATCGAAAAGGAAGGATACCGATTGGGCTCCAAGGCGATATCCTTCGCGCTCGCCTATATGGCTTCAAAACGCTTCCTACTGCTTTCGAATACGAATCCAAAACGACCCTGGTCGGGCTTCCATATAGTACCCCAGCGCGTTTCCCGCAACATTTCTATAGGAAGGTTTTTCGAGTGTAGTCTAATGGGATGTCCAAACGGTTTTCATTCGGAAGGGCCCCAACGGGTTTCAATAGGAAGCATTCCTATCGGATTCCGATAGGACACCCGTAGACCCCATAGCGAAACATCTTGATGGATACCAATGATATTCATCTGGTGCCAATCGGGTCCCAGTGGGAAGAATGTCAATAAGATTCAAATGTGGCTCGTGTTGGATCTCAGTAAAAATCCACCATTTCACAGATTCTCACTTCAGACGAGTCACTTTGCAACCAACACGCTTCAGAGAGCGAAGTCTCTCCCTCGTGTGGACCCACGGATATTAGGGACATTGAAAAGCATGTGCCTCTTATGTGCGTTCACTTGCCTGGTTGTAAAGTGGCCGTCCTGGTTGTAAAGCGCCCTTCTCGGAAAATCAATGCTGGTTGTGAAGTGCCCATCTGGTTGTAAAGTGGCCGCTCTGGTTGCAATGTAACCCGCACGCGGGTCCCGAGGGGTACCCCCCAGACCCCCCCAGGGAACACTAAACGGGAACCCGTCCGCAAGGTCGGGGAAAAAAGGCACATGGTTCTTCAACATCAGACTTCAAAAAACAGGTTCTTCCATACCAAAAAAGGGCGCGCACGCGAACTCTTTTTTTTATAATAATAGACATAGTTTAAAGAACCTGGTCTTTCAGCATTGTCATAACATTCTGCCAAACGGGCGTCCCGCACCGCACGTCGAAATCAGTCGGGAGCCTTTTGTGCACGTGCTCGGGGGGACACGACCCGTAACAAATACTGCCATGCGGGCCACTCGCGCGCGACGGCCGCGCGCGTATGTCGAACTCCTTCCAAAACGTGCATCATCGACGCGAAGACACCGTCATCGTCATTGACGTGATCAACATCGGCGCCGTCATTGGCCTTACTGTCGTCATCGTCACCATCGTCACCATCATCGCTGCTATCATCATGTCTACCGTTGCCGGCGTCGGCATGACCCCGCGCCCGCCCAAGTCAGCGACTTGCACTAAAGAGCCCGCTGGGAAGTGCCCCAGTGGTCAGCGCCACCGCGGCAGCGTCGGTCGCGCAAAACTAGCTGGCCGCCGTGCACGAGAGCATGCGCGGTCTAGCGCGGCCGCAGAGATGCATGGGCGTGAGCTGGGGCGGTCCGAAAAATGCAGAACGAGACACGCGACCGCATGCAATAGCTGCATAATGGCGGGCGGTCACTTGTCAAACTTGGGCTAGCGCTTGAGACTTCCTCGAAAAGTATGACCAGAAGCCTAAACATGTGCAACGGTTGTACCGATAGGGGCGGTCGTATTTTAAAACGGGGATATTGCTGGAAATCCCGCTGATCTGTGCGATCACACAGCGACGCAATCCGTACTACTGCCAAGAAGGATGCAAGGCAGTTACGTTTCAAAACGGAGCTCTCGCCCGAGTGGTTGACCCACGGGGTGCCGGTCTTTCAAGGAGGGCCCTCCCTTTTTTACCACCGTCGAGGCGCAACGAGGCACAAACTAACACAAGAAATACATGATGGACGAATGTCCGCAGAGAAAGATCATCTCGTGCGCGCGCAGGCCGCTACCCCCGGGCATCGCCGGAGCAAATACTCGCGCAGAAAGCCCTCCCGAGCCGAAAGGTTAAAAATGGGCGGGCACGGATTGAGGGAGAGAAGGGGAAGGCGGAAGGAAACAAGAGAGGTGGTAGAGGGGCACCAAAACCGGCCGTCGCGTGCCGATCCCTTCTTACTGCGAAGAGGAAGGCGCGTATGGACTGCGGCAAGGAGACTTGGAAAGGGAGAGTGTTGCAGCATCCTTGATCCCTCCTCTGGTCCTCCTCCTCTTCCTCCTCCTCTGCCTCCGCCGCCTCCTCCTCCTCCTCCTCCTCGTCCTCATCCTCCTCCTCTTCGTCATCATCATCATCCTCATCCTCTCTCTTCATCATCCTCCTCAGGCTCCTCATCCCTCTCCCCTCCACAGCTGCCAACGCTCGCCATTCCCCAGCCACGTCGTAGGACCCCAGAGCATCAGCGTCATGAGCGGCGAGGCTGAAGAAATTGAAGGCTCTCACGGAACGGTATGTTGCAAGATACCGCCCTGGCAAAAGGTGTTTCATACAATGTTCCCGCTGGGTCCTGGCAAGCAGCGTGGCAACAGGGAAGAATAGTGGAGGACTGGCCAGGATGGCATGAAGATCTGCACAAGGCTTCGCGCGATATAGACACCACAGTTCCAAGGAAAATGAAGAGGACGAGGAGGATGAGGATGAGCCGCGGCAGCTCCAATGGAAACAATAGCAACGGCGGGCAGTGGACAGGCAAGAAGGCATGGCATGAGCAGCGGGAGGATGTGAGCAGCAAGGGTAGGGAGGTGAGGAGGTAAGACAACATCGGCAATAACGGCACCGAAATCCTTGATGGGCACGCCGCCCTCCATAAGCACGTAGCCTGCAGACCTCAGCCGAAAGTTAAACGGGTAGGTCATGAGGGGACAGCTGATCATGCACGAAAAGTCCAGAAACGAGGGGAGGTGAAGGAACAGCAGCAGGACGAGAAAGTCCCTCTTGCCAATCGGACCACCCTTCGGGTGATCAGCAAGTTGGGGGTAGAGCGTTCGGTTCGCGATTGGCGACGGATCAAGTTCGCGACCTACCGACCTATCGATTTCCACACCTCTCCATAGATCCCTCTACCAACATGTATAGATAAGACAATATACACGATATGAAATGATACCATGTTAAATAATACCATATACTGTTGTATTATGTAATGTGGCATGATATATTTATACATAAAATATGATATTATATGATATGATATACCATAACCTGAAACAATATACAACATAGTATACCCCGATATAACCGAATCGGATATAGTATACTGTGATATAGTATCATATAACATTAGATGACGTAATATAGTGCCATGTGCTACAGTAGTAACAAATAGTGCAACATGGTATCAACTGGTTTAAACGTATGTAGTATACTATGATATGAAACCATGTAGTACAACAGGTCACCAAATAGTACGAATGGTAAAATATAATATGATGTGAGATACTCTCATATAATAAAACGTGACATGATGCAATACCATTGGATCGCGATAGTAACCATAACAGTAGTCATAAATCATAGTACGGATGATAATCACTGATGGCATTATAAGAAGAAGAAGAAGAAGAAGAAGAATCAAAACTGCCCTCCGCACGAACTCCATGACATTATATATGATAAAGCGTGATCCACCGCCGCTTTGCTATGGAACATGCCCCCCCTCTTATTCCGGAACCCTGCTTCCCCCGCCCTGCCGAAAATCCCTCAACCCTGCTCGAACCCCTCCACCCCCCCTTCCCCACCCCCCCTCCCCAGCAACCCCCCCCCTCCCCCTCCAGAAAACCGGGGGGGGGGCACTACCAGTTCGAACCCACCCCCCCGGAAAACCGAGGGGGGCCACTACAAATTCGGACACCCCCCACTCGCCGCTGGCAAACGACTCCCGGGTCCCCACCACCATCCTCACCACTGCCCTGACCACTGTCCCCACCACTTCCATCCCCACCACTGTCCCATTGTCCCCACTGTCCCCACCACTGTCCCACTGTACCCACTCTTTCCACCACTGTCCCCACTGTCCCCACCAGTGCCCTCACCACTGTCGCACCGTCCCCACTGTCCCCACCACTGTCCCCACCACGGACCCACTCTCCCCGCTGTCCCCAGTGTTCCCAACACTGTCCCACTGACCTCACTGTCCCCACCACTTTCCACTGTCCCCAGTCCCCATCGCCGTCCCACGGTGCTGTCCCACTGTCTCTACTGCTCCCACCACTGTCCCCAATGTCCCCGCCACTGTACCTATTGTACCATTGTCCCATTGTCCAACCACCGTCCTCACTACCGCCGCCACCACTGTCCCCACCACCACCGTCCCAACCAATATCCCAGTGTCCCCAACCACTGTCCTCACGACTGCCCTCAACACTGTCGCACTGTCCCCACTGTCCCCACCACTGTCCCCACCACGGTCCCAGTCCCCCACTGTCCCCACTGTCCCCACCACTGTCCCCGCTGTCCCACTGTCCCCACTGTTCCAACAGCTGTTCCACTGTGCTGTCACACTGTCCCCAATGGCCACACCACTGTCCCACTGGTCCCCATCCCCACAGTACCACTGTCCCATTGTCCCACCACCGTCCCCACCACCGTCCCCACCACCGCCCTCACCACCGTCCCCACCACCGCCGTACCTACCACTGTCCCACTGTCCCTTCGCCACTGTCCCCACCACCACCACCGCCCCCACCAGTGTCCCACTGTCCCACTGCCCCCGCCACTGTCCCACTGTCCCCACTATTCCCACCACTGTCCCTCACTGTCCCCACCAGTGCCCTCACCACTGTCGCACTGTCCCCACTGCCCCCACCACCCCCATCCCAGTCTCCCCATTGTCCCCAGCACTGCCCCACTGTGCCCAATCCCCACGGCTGTCCCACTGTGCTGTCCCACTGTCCCCACTGCCCACACCACTGTACCTAGTGCACCACTGTGCCATTGTCCCACCACCATCCTCACTACCGCCCTCACCACTGTCCCCACCCACCACCACCGTTCCCACAACTGTCCCTCAGTTCCCAACCACCGTCCTCACGACCGCCCTCACCACTGTCCCCACCACCACCGTCCCCAGCACTGTCCCACTGTCCCCAATGCCCCCACCACCGTCCCACTGCCCCATCACCACTGTCCTCACCACCACCGTTCCCACCACTGTCCCCCCGCCACTGTCCCACTGTCCCCACTGTTCCCACCTCAGTCCCCACTGTCCCCACCATACCCCCACCACTGTCGCACTGTCCCCACTGTCCCCACCACTGTCCCCACCACGGTCCCACTCTCCCCCCCACTGTCCCCACTGCCCCCACCGCTGTTCCAGTTAGTGTCCCACTGTCCCCACTGTCCCCAACACTGTCCCACTGTCCCAATTCCCACTGTACCACTGTCCCATTGTCCCACCACCGTCCTCACCACCGGCCTCACTATTGTCCTCACCACCGCCATCCCCACCACTGGCCCACTATCCCCTCGCAACTGTCCCCACCACCACCGTCCCCACAAGTGTCCCAGTGTCCGCACTGTCCCCACCACTGTGCCACTGTACCCACTCTTCCCACCACTGTCCCCACCAGCGCCCTCACCACTGCCGCACTGTCCCCACTGTCCCCGCCACGGTCCCACTCTCCCCGCTGTCCCCACTGTCCCCACCACTGTCCCCACTGTCCCCACTCCCCACAACCATCCCCAACACCGTCCCAACCAGTGTCCCCACCAGTCCCCCATCCTGAGTGGGGGAGGAGGAGGGGTCGTTGCAGCAAGGGGGGGGGCTCGAACCACTGGTGACCACCCCCCGGGTTTCCAGAGGGGGGGGTTCGAACCAGTAGTGACCCCCCCTCTTATCATGATGGACCCGGGGGGGAGAGGGGGGGGTTGGAACCCCTAGTGATCCCCTGCGATTTTCGACGGGGGGGGGGGCGGGTTGGAAAACCCCAGTGACCCACCCCGGTGTTCTGCCAGCAGCGGCAGAACTTTTTTCGTCAGCGGCGAAGCGGTGAACTCCGCTCCACCGAGAAGATAGATAGGGGCACTACCTAACCAACTGGCCGGCGAGCAAAGAGGGGGGGGCCGAGAGGAAGAAGGGACGTTCAGACGCCGAAGAGTTCGACGATGAGCAGCCGCGGGGGGGCAGCAGCAGCCAGGCGCGTAGGGCCAGAGCGCGATGGGCGGCCGTGGCGAGCCACAGTGGCAAGGGTGGCGGGGAGCGGCAGCCAGCGGCAAGGGCTGGAAGGGGGGCACAGCGGGACACCACGAGCGAGGTACCGCGGCGCACCGAGGAGAAGGCACAGCACTGAGCCGTGCGGAGGCAGGAGCAGCGGCCAGATAGCTGGCAGTGACTGGGGTAATGCGGCGGGACCGCCCGAGGCCAGGTGGCCAGGGGGCGGGGAGAGCAGCGGCAGAACACGCTCTTTCTTGTGTATATATATGTACATAAGTATACATATCTATATAGATATAGATATATAGATATATATATATATATATATATATATATATATATATATATATATATATATATTCGCCGGCCCAACGGGCCAGAGGCGTGCTAAGATCTCCGGTAACTGCTAAATAATACTTCTACTTCACGCGCGCGGGGCGGCCCCTGGGGGTCCCCGGACGAAAAGTACCCCGGGCGATCCCCGGCAGACTCGGGTCAGAGATGGTTTTCCTCCTGGGCGCCGCCCCCGTGGCCCTCCAGAGAGCCCCAAGAAGGGCCACGAGGCCGCCAAGAGCCCTCCAAGATGGTTCAAGAGTGCTCCGAGATGCCACACGATCGTTCCAAGACGCCCAAGATGGCCCCCAGACGCCCCAAGAGGCCTCCAAGAGCACTCCCCAGAGGGCCCCAAGAGGCAAAATTCATTACTTTTCCTTAGGTTTTGGGCAGATTTGGGCGTGTCCATCTTTTCGGCTTCCCGACGCCCCAAGACGGCCCAAGAGGCCCCCAAGATCGCCCCAAGAGGGCCCAAGAAGCTCCCAAGAAGGCCCCAAGATGGCCCAAGAGGGCTCCAAGACGGCCCCAGAGGCATCCAAGACGGCCCAAGAGGGGCCCAAGAGGGCCCCAAGCGATGCCCCAAAGGGGGAACACAAAACAAAACTTCGAGCCCTCGGCCTTAAGAAGCCCCCAGGAGGCCTCAAGAGGCCCCTGAGAGGCCCCAAAAGCCCCCAAGAGGCCCTCAGGAGGCCCCCAAGCGACGCTGAAGAGGCCCCCCAGCGGCCCCAAGAGGCTCAGTCATGCGAAATGGGCCGGCGGAATGAGCGAAGCGATCCTATAATATATATATATATATATATATATATATATATATATATACATACACACATGCATACATACATACATACATACATACATACATACATACACATATACATACATACATACTACATACATACATGCATACATGCATACATACATACACACAATATATACATCATACATACATACATACATACATACATACATACATCATACATTACATACATACATACATACATACATACATACATACATACATACATACATACATACATACATACATACATACATACATACATACATACATACATACATACATACATACATGCATGCATGCATACATACATACATACATACAGACAGACAGACAGACAGACAGACAGGCACAGACAGACAGACAGACAGACATACATACATACATATATATAGGTGTGTATATATATATAGAAAGAGAGAAAGAGAGAGAGAGAGAGAGAGAGAGCGGAGCGGAGCGCAGGAGGGCCTTCCAACGCCTCTCGAACGAGCTCTGGAAGCTCTCGGGAGGAGCTTCCGAAGGAGCTTCTGGCAAATGTATCGATCTCACATACTACTCATCGACCTTGGGACTCCAATCCGACCAAATCATGAAAACAACCAGCGACACTGCCACAAAACAACCACAAGACAATCGCGTAACAACCTCGGGGAACCAAGCGGAACAGCCATGTAAGTAATCAGCTAAACAACCGCAGGACAACATCGGAACAACCGTCGGAATAGTAATCGGAACAACCATCTAAACAACCAGCCAAGCAACCACAAAACAACCACGGAAAAAAAACGTGAGACAGCCACGGGGCCACCACAAGGGCAACCACTGAATATCCAATGACCAACCACGGACCAACCACGGGACAACCACTGCCCACATACAGGACAACCACAAGACAACCGCGGGGCAGCCGCAAAACGGCCACGGGACAACCACTGGACAACCACAGGACAACCGCGGGACACCCACGGAAGAACCACGGAACAACCACGGGACGAGCACAGAACAACAGCGGGACGGCCACATGAGAGCCACGGGGCAAGCAACAGGACCACCGCGGGACAGCCGCGGGACAACCACAGAACAACCACAGAACAACCACAAGACGACCACCGGACAGCCACCAGGACAACCGCGGGACAACCGCGGGGGCCACCGTCCGCCCGCGAGGAGGGTGAACAATTTGATCGCAGACTGTCCTAAAAGCGCAGGGATCTGTCTCGCCCTCGCCAAGATTCGCCTCGCCCGCACGCACGCCACGCATGACGCGAACCGGAACCGAAACCGATGTCCCGGTCTGGGCACTTCTCTTCCCTCTGATATCACCACCAGTATCCGATGTAACTCGGGCCTGGATTCACAGAGCGCGTCTGGCTTTGATGAAAAACGACTTCTGCCAACTTCAACCCCTACCATCGGCGGCGGGCGATGGGGGATGTGAGAAGGAGGAGGCCTTCTCCAAGGCGGCGTGGCTTCTCAGAAGCCCGCCAGCCTTCTGAGAAAGATTCTGTCTCCGGGGCAGGCTCAGAAAGCTCCTCGGAAGGCCGGGGGACTCCCGAACCTTCTGAGGAGGCCTTCTCCTTCTCGCTTCCCCCCTCGCCCGCCGCCAATGACATCGTGTGCAAAGAGCCTCCACCGCCCTCCGACCCCCGAGGAGCAGATGCCACACGGACGGGACGACGGCGCAGCTCGCCGCGCCACCGCACAGCACGACTGTATGGCACAGCGCCACGCCGAACGGCACGACATCACGGTATGACACAGCACTGCATGGTACGGCACGCCCGACGGAGTCACACATTGGGAGCGAGGGAGGAGCGAGGAGGAGCGAGGAGGAGGAGGAGGAGAAAAGGAGGGGCCCTCGAGAGAAAGGCTGCAGAGCGACCTGGCACCACGGCACGCCACGCCCGAGGGAACTACGAATTGGGACCGCGGCGCGGCACGGCACGGCACGGCACGCCCGACTGAATCGTATGAGCCGGGGGGCACGGCGCGGCACGGAGCGGCAGGGCATGGCGCGGGGAGGGGCACGGGCATGCCACTGGCGACGCTGGCCCGGGTGCGGACGATTCAAAAGGGGTCTCACGCGGGATGGCACAGCGACCTTACGCGGCGGCTCACGCGGGTCGCCAACACGGCACGCTACACTGGAGACGAAGGTGCTCACGCGCGACCTTGCGCGAGCAGCTTACGCGCCAATGTCGGCGCAGAAGACCCCCTTTTTTTGCGTCGCTCGGGTGGCACAGGAGCACGATTGACAACAAATCGCCGCCTGCGGCGGGATCTCGCATCGGCTTGCCACTTCCAGACCCAGGGCAGACCTATCAGCCTTCTTTGCGCCTGCGGTGGCGGAGGAATGGCTACAGTGGGGGCTCGACCACAAGAAACCTTCCACAAGAAACCCAACCCTGAGACCCCAGGACGTCCGTGGATTTTTGGTGAGGGAACGTCGCGCTCTCCATAGCAAGACCCTCGAAACCGGAGAAACCCAGGGCACCCTGGAGGCAAGCGGGTTGTGCCTTGGAATCGGTCTCCACTGCATACTACTGGCGTGCTGGGTGCTGGCAGCACTCGTCCTCTCCTTCTCGCCCTGCCTCTCTCCGGGTGCGCCGAGGAAGGGGGGCCAGGAAGAGGGGGGGCGGGGGGGGGGGGCAGCGCACCATGGTCCGAGGCGTGTGCACGGACGAGGGGGGAGGGGAGGGGGAGGGCAGGCCAGGCACGCGCTGGCAGAAGAAAAGCGGGTCTGGGAGATCTCTCGTGGCCCTGGCCATTGGTGTCCACACACGGGCACACGTCTCGGTCGCCGCAGGCGGGAGGCGCTCCCCGCCGTCACACGCTCGCGCGGCAAGCCGCGCGCGCCCGGTAGCCCCTCAAGGAAAAGGACTGGCCCCTCACGGGGCAGTAGCCGGGCGGGGCGCCAGGGGCGCACACACGCACGCACGCACACGCACACACACACACACACACACACACACACACACACACACACACACACGTCCCCGCCCGCATCTCCGACGCTCCCCATCTCCCCCAGCCTGCTGGGAGCTCCCCTGAGATCCGACGTTGCGAACAAAATTGCGGCATCGTGGGAAATCACGACCCGAGCCGTGGACTCCATGTTTTTTAAAGCATTTTTCGGGCTGGATCGATCTGCGATGGTCCCAGGGCCCGAAACCAGGCGAAAACGCCTGGCGAAAAAAGTTGCAACGCCCAGATCTCAGAGCCCCAGGGCCCCTGCCCGCCAGGGGATCGATGTGCGAGGGCCCCAGGACACGAAGCTGAGCGAAAATCCCGGGTGAAAAAACAGTTGCACGGGTCTCGGTCCTAATCATCTGGGACTGCCCCGCTGCTTAAGGGCTTAAAGACTTACGCTGTCCCTCGTCTCGCGCTGGAGCTTCACGATTTCTCCAGGTTCACCTGGGCACCTCCAAATGAAGCTCGACCTCTTTGGCTTTGCCTGGATGTACATCGAATTACGTCGATCTATCTAGCTTGATCACCGCAACCCTCAGGGACAACGAAGACGGCGACGACGGCGAGGACAACGACGGCGAGGACGACGGCGGCGGTGACGACGACGACGGCGACGACGACGACGGCGACGACCGACGCCGACGACGCCGACGACGACGGCGACGACGACGAGAACGACGGCGACGACGACGGCGACGACGGCGGCGACGACGAGTCGTCAAGCCCTCGGGGACCCGCGCGGCAGTCCTGCCCCGCCTCCCGAGGGGAGGCGGGCGGGGCAGAGGCGCGCGGCTGCTCGGGTATGGCTCGAAGTAGGAGGAGGAGAAGGCGGAGGAGGAGAAGGAGGAGGAGGAGGAGGGGGAGGGGGAGGAGAAGGAGGTGCAGGGTGGAGGGTGGAGGTTGGAGGAGGAGGAGGAGGAGGAGGAAGAGGAGGAGGAGGAGGAGGAGGAGGAGGAGGAGGAGGAGAAGGCGGAGGAGGAGGAGGAGGACGCCTCCTGGGGGGAGGCCCCTCTGGGCAGCGCGCAGCAACGCCGTGCGGGCCGCGCCCTCCTTCACGTTGGACCCCGCCTGCGGAGGCCGGCACTCCTCCTCCTCCTCCTCCTCCTCCTCCTCCTCCTCCCTCCTCCTCCCTCCTCCTCCTCCTCCTCCCTCCTCCTCCTCCTCCTCCTTCACCTCCCCCCCTCCTCCCCTCCCCTCCTCCTCCTCCTCCTCCTCCTCCTCCTCCTCCTCCTCCCCCTCCTCTTCCCTCCTCCCTCCTCCTCCTCCTCCCTCCTCCTCCTCCCTCCTCCCCCCTCCCCTCTCCTTCTCCTCCTCCTCCTCATCCGCCTCATCACCCTCTTCTTCGTCTTCTCCTTACTGTGATGTCTCGTATTGTTATTGTTGCTATTCGTATGAATATTAGTAGCTTTACTCTTCTTAACGCTATTGAGACTCATAGTATTGTGTATGATGTAGTCTTAGCGCTATCAATAATAATGTGTGTTTATTGCTACTGATGCGATTACTCTTACTCATCTAAGTATTATTCTGAGCGTTGTGGTGCTTATTACGATTTAAGAATCGTTTCCAAATTATCCGCATTAGTATCATCATGAATATTACTCCTCCAAAATCTTCCTCCTCCTCCTCCTCGCCCTCCTCCTTCCTCCTCCTCCACCTCCTCCTCCTCCTCCTCCTCCTCCTCCTCCCCTCCTCTCCTCCCCCCTCCTCCTCCTCCTCCTCTCTCCTCCTCCTCCTCCTCCTCCTCCTCCTCCTCCTCTCTCTCTCCTCCTTCCTCTCCTCCTCCTCCTCCTCCAACTCCCCCTCCCCCTCCCCTCCCCCTCCTCCTCCTCCTCCCTCCTCCTCCTCCTCCTCTCCTCCTCCTCCTCCTCCTCCTCCTCCTCCTCTCCTCCTCCTCCTCCTCCTCCTCCTCCTCCTCCTCCTCCTCCCTCCTCCTCCTCCTCCTCCTCCTCCCCTCCTCTCTCCTCCTCCTCCTCCTCCTCCTCCTCCTCCTTCTTTCTCCTCCTCCTCATCATCCTTCTCCTCAGCATCATCATCATCATCATCATCATCATCATCATCATCAGCATCATCATCATCATCATCATCATCATCATCATCATCATCATCATCATCATCATCATCATCATCATCATCATCATCATCATCATCACACCCACATCATCATCATCATCATCATCATCATCATCAGCATCCTCATCATCATCGTCATCAGCATCATCATCATCATCATCAGCATCAGCATAATCAGCATCATCATCATCATCATCAACATCAACATCAACATCAACATCATCAGCATCATCATCATCAGCAGCATCATCATCATCACCACACCACCACCATCATCACCATCATCATCATCATCATCATCAGCAGCATCATCATCATAATCATCATCATCATCATCATCATCATCGTCATCATCATCATCATCATCGTCATCATCATCAGCATCAGCATCAGCATCAGCATCATCATCATCATCATCATCCTCATCATCATCCGCATCATCATCAGCATCATAATCGTCATCATCATCATCAGCATCATCATCATCATCATCGTCATCAGCATCATCATCAGCAGCAGCATCATCGTCATCAGCATCATCAGCATCATCATCATCATCATCCTCATCCTAATCCTTATCAGCATCCTCATCCTCATCACCATCACCACCACCATCATCATCATCATCATCATCATCATCATCATCATCAGCATCATCATCATCATCCTCATCATCAGCATCATCAGCATCAGCATCATCAGCATCATCATCATCAGCAGCAGCATCATCATCGCCATCATCATCATCATCATCATCATCATCATCATCATCAGCAGCAGCAGCAGCAGCAGCAGCCTCATCATCGTCATCAGCAGCATCATCGTCATCAGCAGCATCAGCAACATCATCGGCATCATCATCAGCAGCAGCATCATTATCGGCATCATCAGCAGCAGCAGCATCACCAGCATCATCATCATCATCATCATGAGCAGCATCTTCATCACCAGCATCATCATCATCCTCAACATCACCTCCATCATCATCCGCAGCAGCATCATCAGCGTCATCATACTCATCATCAGCAGCATCATCAGCATCATCATCATCATCATCCGCATCATCATCATCAGCATCATAATCGTCATCATCATCAGCATCATCATCATCGTCATCATCATCAGCATCATCAGCAGCAGCATCATCGTCATCAGCATCATCAGCATCATCATCATCCTCATCCTAATCCTCATCATCATCCTCATCCTCATCACCATCACCACCACCACCACCATCATCATCATCATCATCATCATCATCATCATCATAAGCATCATCCTCATCATCAGCATCATCAGCATCATCGGCCTCCTCCTTCTCTTCCTCCTTCTCATCTTCCTCCTCCTCTTCTTGCGCCTACCACTCGTCCTACTCCTACCCCGCCTCTTCCTCCACCTCATCCTTCTCTTCCTCCTCCTGCTCCTCCTCCTCCTCCTGATCCTACTCCTCCTACCCCTCCTCCTCCTCCTCTTCCTCCTCTTCCTCCTCGTCTTCCTCGTCCTCCTCCTCCTCGGCGACGAGGGCCTCCCAGGATGCACAAAGACGCGAAAACGAGGAAGGGTAGCGATATCGGTACCTCTTTCTCCTCTTACGAGGACGGCGCCCATGCATCGAATCGTACCATGCCTGGACTCCCTTCAGGCCCCGCTTCCGCGCGGAACTGTGCATAGTGTTTCGGCTCTGACAGCCGAAAAACTGTGCACCGTACCACTCCCAGGCCGAGGATCGACGACGCCTCGGGGGCGATGATGCAACACGGTGCACACAAGTCATCCGCGGAACTCTGACCAACGCGACGGTTAGCGAAGGCGTCAGGCTGGACTTGGACAAAGATAAATCCGTTCCAGGCGTTCCAGAACGCTCTCAAAGCGTTCCTGAACGCTATGAGAAGGCCGCGGCGCCCGAGAAATCCTCTAGAGCCGCCACAGAGATCCTCAATTTATCCTCATCCGAATTTGTCCTCGCCCTGGCTTTGTCTGAAGGCGCCTCGAGCAGCGCGGTCTCCCTCGCGAACAGCGCGGCGCTGCGGGCCTTGCCGGCCGCGATCTCCGCGCTGACCGGCATGGCGCCATCCAGGCGCTGCAATGCGATGACCTCGGCAGGGCGCCGTCCCAGGCGCCCGTCCCTCTCCGCGCGGCAAGCGAGCTTTCGGAGCAGCACGACACCACCGTGGATGTAAACAACGAACGCGAATCTTGCTCGCAACGGTGGAAGTCCGAGGAGGAAAAGGTACCGATGCCGCTGCCCCTCCCTCGGTTTCGACTTCTGGTCCTCCTGGGAGGCTCTCGTCGAGACCGCCGAATTCGCCTCGAAATTCTGGCCAGAACGCACCCCGGGAGAGGTCTGGGGAGGAGCGGTGTCGGTACATTTTGGTGTCCCCAGGAGATCCGTCATTCAAAGGCCGCAAGCTCCCAGCTGGGTTGGGCACGATCGGCGGCTACCGATGAAAATGTAAGAGATGAACGCGGGACGCAAGTGCTGTTTTCCTAACTGCGGTCGTTGCTGACTGGGCCATGCTCCATCTCTTTCCATGGCGGAATTCCGAAGTTATGAGGTGGTTGTAACTTATTGCGTCCATTCATAACAGTTGGTACATACGTTGCTGGCATCAGTTTCCCTTCCCTGTCTCGCATAGTCGAAACAAGGAGCTCGAAGGCAACCCCCCCGAACCACATTCTTCGAGACTGTGGCAACTCTGCTCAAAGTTAGAACGAGCTCTTCTGGCTGAAAATTCGGAATCAAAGGTAGCTGATGGTGGACGTAGCATTCGAGATTGAAAGACGCGTTGGTAACGCATTGCAGAAGAAACTGCGCCCGCGAAGAGGCGAACATCTTTTAAGACGTGACAAGGCAATAACACCAAACGAAACCATCAACAACAACTGAAACATAACCTGAACTTACAAATTCGATTGGCACCAAACCTCAACACCTGCGAACATATCCGTCACCGTGCTGTGCCGCGGCTGCTGGGCATCGAGCCCCAGTCAGCAAACATGCGCTTGCTCATCCCAACAGCGCGACCGGGTATCGAAACCGCGCACCTCTCAAATCCAAGACTCACCCGCATACGCCCACTACGCCTCTGAGCAACGAGTGTACCGATCGAACGGGGCTGCCCAGCAGAAGCTGGCGGGTGCCCAATCGACCAAGGCAAGCCCCCCACGATTCTGTCCGGACAGCAGACATTGCAACATGGAGCTGGGAATCCATCACGTAGCAGCGTCTCTATCAAGGGGGGAGCCGAAATTTGACCACCGCGCCCAAGTGCGACCGAGACACTTGGCTCGAAGCCAGAACAATTTCCAATTTCGGTTGCACTTTCGGTCACATTATGCGTTCGGTCACAGTTTCGGCCACGTTTCCGATCACAATTTGTTGTTGGTCTCACACCTTTTTGGCTGATAGGGGCCGGGTGCCATGAAATCCACCCTGGGCGGCAGGAACAAAACCGCCAATGCCAGACAGTGCGGCCTCGAGCCGCATCAAACGGTTCAGGCCTACGGCAGGTTCGTGTCGTGACGACCTGGGCGTTGGCTCCTGACACCGCGTGGATCGTTCAACCTTGAACAGTCGGCGGCTTTTCGATCGTCAGATCCCTCCATGCTGGCTGATTCGTGGCCGCTGGCGGCGTTCAAACTTGACTGCCCGCGGCGGGGCCGCTGCCGCGTCGGCACGACACGCTCGCACCGTACCGCCGCCGACCGCCCCCTGGCCATCGCCGCCGAGGCCACCGCGATCACACTGGACGGCCGCGGACCGCGGGGGCGCAGCCGAGCGCCGAGAGCTCGACCCGATGCCATCGGGGCGCGCCCGCCGCCTCAGGCGACGGGCGCGCCCGCCCCCTGTGCTCCCCTGCCCCCTGTGCTCTCCATCCTCCTCCTTCTCCCTCCCGCCATCCACTCCATCCCCCTATCCCCCCTCGCTCTGCCCCTCCCTCCCTGTCTCCCGCCTTCTCTCTGTCTCTCTCTCTCTCTCTCTCTCACTGCGTCTCTCTCTCTCTCTCTCGCTCTCTCCCTCTCTCTCTCTTTCTCTCTCTCTCTCTCTCTCTCTCTCTAGTCTCGGCTCGAGAGTGCCCTGCACTCATAGCGTAGCCGCGACGCGAAGCGCCCCGCCTGGAGTCCCGACTCCAGGCCTCGCGAGACTGGAACCGCGCCAGCAGCGCGGTACGGATTTGCGTCACCTCCTCCCTCCCACCAGAGCGCCCGCCGCAATGGCCCCCGCCAAGCCGGAGCGCCGTCGCTCTTCCAAGCAGCCGCCGAGCTCACGTCCTGCAGCTGAAGGATCCCTCCTCCAACGCAAACAGGACTGCATTGCAGCCTTCAAGCAAGCGGGGTCTGACCGCCCCACAGCCGCATACAACGGGCTCGCCGAGCTGAACGCGGACGAGCTGCAGGCCACGTACGACATGCACAAGACCAACACCAAGAAGCTCGGCAGTGCCTTGATTCGCATGTGTGCCGCCAACCAGATCAGCTACACGCTGGATCACCACCAGCGCAGCAAGCCTAAGCGCAATGGTGGTGACACATCCTATCCACCAGCTGCGTCCGCACGTCTTCAGGCTGCGGACGCCAAATTTATTGCCTTGGACCCGGCCTTCTGGAAGGTCCCAGTCCTGGCCGAACCCACATCACTCGACGACGGCAAGACGTACAAGCCCAGCATCAGCCTCCACGACTACGAGAGTGGCGAGCGGCTGCTGCAGCACCATCTCGAGCAGGGTAAGCGTACCACGGGTCAGCTCGCGATCGCTGTCATGGGCCCAAAAAACGACAACTACGTCGGCACCGAGCTCGCCGTCCCCGTGCTGAAGCGCCACCCCAAGGCGCCCAATGTGGTTCACACGCACGTCCCCGTGACCGTGTACCAGCTGGGCACCAAGGAAGTCGCCTGCACGGAAAAAGTAGCCGTCGCCACCATCGATCCTGCCGACCACGTATGCTGGATTCGGGTGACCATACATGAAACCGAAGCCATCGCCGCAGTCCCCTCCATGCATCAGGCCTTCGAGGATCAGTTTTCGGGAGGCGCCCCCGTGAACGGTGGTCCACGTGCCAAGGGTCCTTTCCGAGGGGATTCCGCTCCACAGGACAAGGCGCGCCAAAACCAAAAGCACAGGGAGTCTAAGAAAGACGCTCGCCGCCAGGAGCTCGACAGTCAGCTGCAGGACACCTTCAAGGCCCTTTTCCACGGCAACTTTAAAGCCGTCACTATCCTCGAACCCTGCAAAAGTCTAGGCAGGTACGGATCTGGCGTCGGAAAAAGGTCCCTGGCTGCCACTTTCGGCGTCAGTCTTCAAGCAGTTGACAAGGTCTTGGCGGGTTCGGGGCAACTCGGCGCCACCTACGACCTCAGCAACGTAGGTGCGGACGAGCCCACGGCAGACAAGTACCAGACCGTGTGGTTCCCCGAGGACCAGCCCATCACGATGGCAGAGGCGTTTCAGAAGTCGGTGGACTTCAAAGCCCTAGGAGTCGTCAGGCACGGCAAGTCAGGCTTATTGGGGATCCGTGTTGCACGTGGGTCAGACGCCGCCAAGGCCGCTGCCGTCAGCATCCGTGGCTGCGAAGCCACTCTCGCCAAGACGCGATACCGCATCACGGGCATTGCGGCACGCCATGCCACGCTGACTCAGCTTGCCAAGACTCTCACGGGCCCGTCCGTCAAATGGGACTGTGAGGTCTACCACACCGCCTGGGACCCAGCCACTTCGGCGCAGTTTGCCTTAGTGCGCGCTCATCGTCCCCCACCCACATATACGGTACAGGTCGCAGGGTGCCCCATCCCGTGGAGCATCACCGAGGCCCCGTTGGCTGAGGTCGTGCCGAAGAGGGACAACGTTACCATTGTCACCCCTACCACTATCACAGAGCCTGTGACGCCGCCCGCCCGTGGTGGCGGCTTCAGCCCCGCCACGGGCACACTCCTAACCAAAGCGGCCCAGAGCCCCTACCTCCACGACCTCATGACTGCCACGCCCAAAGGCAAGGGCGTCGCACCGCTCCCGATCCCTAAGGAGGAGCCTTTAGCCAAGCGCCACCGATCCTCCAGCGGGAAACGTGACGCCACGCCGCACGCAAGATCACACGGCGCTCCAGGCCGCAGCTCCTCTGCTCCCCCGCACGGCACGGATGGAGCTGCCGAGCAGACGGCCGTCCAAGGACCAGGTGGGGACGGGCATGACCAGCAACCTGGCACGGGGGCGGCCGAAGGTGGGGGCCACACGGAAGGGCACGTCGACGCAGCCGCCGAGGTACCAGGCGACGTCGAGATCCTCTCATCAGAGGACGAATTCAGCGTGACATCGCGCGAACCGAACACCCTCGGCGAACGCTTCGCTACGGCCCCTAAACTGTCAGATGCCGCTACGACCCGCATCCAACACATGGAACAACAGCACGAGCTGCTTGCCAACACGGTGGACAACATGCAGGTCCAGCTTGCGGGCGTTCTCTCATCCCAGGCCACACTCACGGAGCACGTTACAGGCTTAGAACGAGGGCTTGCCACCGTCGTCACGCAGCAACAGACGGCAACTACCGAAGCTGCTGCACTGCGCGGCGACATCCAGGCCCTCCTCGGGCACCTCACGGGGGGTACCATCCACCTGCCCCAGGTGGCCACCCTCGATACCAAAAAGGAGGAAGCTGCACCAGTTGCCGATCCGTGGCTGTCTGCGGGTGGATCGACCAGCCAGGCCAGGTCACCCCAGGGACGGGGCCCCCAGGGGCTGACAAAGGCAAAGACAAAGGGCGGGCCACACAGGAACCCTATTGAAGGTGCCTCAGAGGGCCCGCCTCAGCCCTCCGAGGAAGCGCCTTCAGAGGCATCCCTTCTCACTTCTCGTCGTACCTCTTCCTTGCTATATCATGTCATTTTTGGCAGCAGCACGAGCAAGCTACCTGGTGTAGGGACACCTGTCATCTTGCTGTGGGTGTGTTGTTGCAATGTACATGAGCATGCAGGGGTACCTTAAGATGCGTGCTGACATGCAGCCTTTGGCTCATCGCTCGCGCCGCCTGCCAGGCCTCGCCATCATGTGGCGCTTTGCTTTCAGCCTG